CCACTTCCGTGACTCCACTTCCGGTTCCGGTAAGCCGCAGCCCGGTATCTAATCCTACGAATGAACCTGATCCTACTGAACCAATGTTAATTGGGCGTGCCCGCCTCACTCCTGAGGAGAGACAGAGGCGTTTTTCTGCCAAAGAGTGTTTATATTGTGGAAAGAAGGGGCACTTCATTGCTTCATGTTCACTTCGTTTAAAAGGTCAATCCCACCAGTAAAACGGGAGATACTGGTGGGCGCTGCAGACATTTCTCCTGTGAATCGTCTTACCCTTAATACGTCAGTTTTTTATGATAATGTTAATTTCCCTGTACAAGCCCTGATCAATTCTGGGGCAGAACAGAATCTAGTCAGTGATGGTTTGGTGGCTCACCTTTCCATTCCTATGAATAAATTACGCCAACCCCTCTCTATGACAGCGCTCACCGGTCAGTCCATTTCCACCATTTCCCATAAAATCTCCTCTTTGCATATCATTGTATCTGGTAACCATCATGAACAAAGTGAATTTTTCGTTTTTCATTCCGAGACCCCTCAAATAATTTTAGGATTTCCCTGGCTCAGACAACATAACCCTCAAATTGACTGGTCTCGTAACCAGATAGTCTCCTGGAGCCATTATTGTTCCTCCAACTGCCTTGGTTCTGCCGTCACCACCTCTCCTCCACCTTGTCATGTGGTGGAGGAGATCGATTTGTCGTCAATTCCGTCCTGTTATCATGACCTGGCCCCTGTGTTTAGCAAGGCCCGGGCTCTCTCCTTACCCCCCCATAGGCCTTATGACTGCTCCATAGACCTTCTGCCTGGTGCTCCCTTGCCTTCCTGCCGTCTGTATAATCTGTCTGGCCCTGAAAAGCAAACCATGAGGGACTATATTACAGCATCCCTATCCTCAGGCATTATTCGTGCTTCTACATCCCCTGTAGGAGCGGGATTTTTTTTTGTCGACAAGAAGGATGGGTCGTTGCGGCCCTGTATTGACTACAGAGAACTGAACCAGATAACTGTAAAAAATAAATACCCTCTGCCTCTGATCGAATCCATTTACGAACAACTCAGGGAGGCGTCCA